GTTTTGTTGAAAAAACTCGCCCAGATAAAGCTGTAGCAGGCCGTTGCATTGACCTTTTAAATGACAATGTGATGTCTTACTACAGACAAGTGTTAAAATGTAGGGAAAAACAAGTGTCTTTAGACAGATTCTTAGTAAGACAAGCAAGCAGTGAGCCACAAGCAGGTCCTAGTGGTATGCAGGCAAAACGTGCCAGAGTGTGCACACCAGAGAAGTCCTCACTGCCTGATGTTATAATGGAAGGGGACTCCCCTTCCAAACAGTAACACCTCTCCTCCTCCCCCCTCCTCACCATCTTCCATACGCCAACAGCAGTCATCAGCAAGGGTAAGTAATAACTTGAATATAGTTTTGTAGTGTAGATTTTAATGAATTAGGTATAAAATTTAGTTTGAAGTGAGGTTTTTGGGTAGTGAAGAATGGATTAATTCATTTCCCATTATTTCTTACAGGGAAATTAGCTTAGGTTTCGAGTTTTGCTTTTGGGTTACGAGCCGTCTCCAGGAACGGATTAAACTCTTAAACCGAGGTACCCCTGTTTGATGTGACCTAGTAGTTGGGTGCCATCTCAGTGAGATAGCTTCTGGGAGCCACAAAGGGCTCCCCTAGAAATGTCCTATAATCATTATACTGTACAGTTCTCAACATATCATTCAGTCTGAAAATGTAAACTTATTCATAAATCCTGATTCTGCCATATATACATCCAAGGTATTTAATGGTTCATTTGGAGGATGTCTACAAATTACACTTGCTTAAAAAATCTGCATCTAAATCTAATTTAAGTGTTTGTGTATATATATATATATATATATATATATATATATATATATATATATATATATATATATATATATATATATATATATACTGTATGTTGTACCTAGTAGCCAGAACATCATATTTGGCCTACTATGCAAGGCCCAATTTGCCTAATAAGCCAAGTTTTCCTGAATTTTTATATTTTCCTATTTTTTTCTTATGAAATGATAAATCTGTCCATTTCATTATATACAAGTTAATTTATTTAAATTTGAGTTAAAACTAATGTAGATATATGACTGAACCTGACCAACCCTACCTAATCTAACCTATCTTAACCTAACCTAAACTAACAACTAGTTCAAGAAATTATGGTCATAATATAATAAAAATAATTCAAATTAACTAATTGGAAACAATTTATTGAAAATAAAGAAAATCACTTGGTCTATTAGGCAAATCCGGCCTTGCATAGTAGGCCGAGAAGTGCGTTCTGGCTACTTGGTACGACATTTTATATATTATATTATATATATATATATATATATATATATATATATATATATATATATATATTATATATATATATATATATATATATATATATATATATATATATATATATATATATATATATATATATATATATATATATATATATATATATATATATATATATATCTACATCTACAGTTCTGCTACCAATTTATATTTTTTTGTATATATCTACAGACTACAGCTATGCCTAAAATAAAACTCTTCTATTACATGGGAGTTAATTCATGAAACAAGCTAGACGACCTTGGCACATGATAGCAAATATTATCAGGGCAATCTATGGGCAGTGAACATATTTAATGAGCTCATGAAACTTATGGCAAACCATGGTGTATGCAAATATAATCAACATATTTGAATTGCAAATTTATATTTTTGTCATTCTTGATTCATGGTTATAATATACAGATTATTATATTTGATTATTTAATAAGTAACAAATCTGGAACAAGCTAGAACTAGAATGGTTCAAATAATTTAATACTTATGTCCTTTTCAATTCGGTATGATTTCCATGATTTATTTACAGTTACAGAATATACATTACTGTAGTAAACATGGCTATAAATATTTGATGCCTCTGGTATCTGCATTTCTAGCTCAAAGAATTACTTTAAACTAAGAACTGGTGTAAAACAGCCAAGTGAAAGTAACCTGCCGTACAGCCATGTATAATTATACCACAGTACCACCAACTTTTCCATCACCAGCTTTCTTTTTTGTCATTTTTTATTTTCTTTGTCATTGCATCATGATGATTACTAGTCAAAAATTACTTTTAAACTTCAATGTCAAGAATCTGAGAATACTTTCTACATTTCGTTCAATACCACTACATACGTTTGTCTATCATATCGGACTATAAACCAAGTACAGTACCGTAATTCGTTCTCCACATTTATAAAATGAAATAGCCCCACACATATTCTCTCCACCTAATTAATAAAAAAAAAAAAAACATACAAATAGGCCAAATCCACGAGATTTCTAAAGCATGCCACGGTGATTAAAAAGGTTTGTAAAAATATATTTATATTTTTAGTTTGATTTAAATTAACAGAGCACATCATGCACGTTCTGCAATCAGCATTGGTAACCAAAAAGATGACTAATATTATATTTTATATATATATATATATATATAAATATATATATATATATATATATATATATATATATATATATATATATATATATATATATATATATATATATATATATATATATATATATATATATCATGTGTGTGTACATATATGTTTATTATATTATATATATATATATATGTCGTACCTAATAGCCAGAACGCACTTCTCAGCCTACTATTCAAGGCCCGATTTGCCTAATAAGCCTAGTTTTCATGAATTAATGTTTTTTCGTCTACCTAACCTACCTAACCTAACCTAACCTAGCTTTTTTTGGCTACCTAACCTAACCTTACCTATAAATATAGGTTAGGTTAGGTAGGGTTGGTTAGGTTCAGTCATATCTACGTTAATTTTTACTCCAATAAAAAAAAATTGACCTCATACATTGAGAAATGGGTTGCTTTATCATTTCATAAGAAAAAAATTATAGTAAATATATTAATTCAGGAAAACTTGGCTTATTAGGCAAATCGGGCCTTGAATAGTAGGCTGAGAAGTGAGTTCTGGCTACTAGGTACGACATATATATATATATATATATATATATATATATATATATATATATATATATATATATATATATATATATATATATATATATATATAATGTGTGTGTGTGCATATCACGAAAATAAACACGTGATTAAGAATGTGACAATGTCAGACCACGGAGGAAAATGAAACAGGAATTTCCTTAAGTACTTTCGTATATTAAATACATCTTCAAAAGGAATCCTTCTGAAGATGTATTTAATATACGAAAGTACTTAAGGAAATTCCTGTTTCATTTTCCTCCGTGGTCTGACATTGTCATATTATATATATATATATATATATATATATATATATATATATATATATATATATATATATATATATATATATATATATATGTCGTACCTAGTAGCCAGAACGCACTTCTCTGCCTACTATGCAAGGCCCGATTTGCCTAATAAGCCAAGTTTTCATGAATTAATTATTTTTCGACTACCTAACCTACCTAACCTAACCTAACCTAACTTTCTCGGCTACCTAACCTAACCTAACTTATAAAGATAGGTTAGGTTAGGTTAGGTAGGGTTGGTTAGGTTCGGTCATATATCTACGTTAATTTTAACTACAATTAACAAAAATTGACCTCATACGTAATGAAATGGGTAGCTTTATCATTTCATAAGAAAAAAAATAGAGAAAATATATTAATTCAGGAAAACTTGGCTTATTAGGCAAATCGGGCCTTGCATAGTAGGCTGAGAAGTGCGTTCTGGCTACTAGGTACGACATTTTATTATATATATATATATATATATATATATATATATATATATATATATATATATATATATATATATATATATATATATATATATATATATACATACATACATACATACATACCACACATATATACATACATACACTGTGTATATACAGTGCAACTCTCACCAATTTGAGCTCTAATGATTTAAAAAGCTGGGTAGTTTGTACATAATTGGAGATGGACCGTGTCCACCACATGATTGGCTGGTTGGCACATCAGTTCAGGTTACCAAACAACTCACTCACAAATGAACATCAACCTAGCTTTTTTTTTTGTTTGATGAATAACTATTCAAACAATATAAAAAAAAAAAGTACTATTATTATTACAAAATTTTTATAAATACAGTACTTTCTTTATATGCCAAAATTGTAACACTAGATTTTTCTTTCTTTTTCTTGGTAGTGTATTGAACATGCATTACTTCAACTATCATGCTTAAACAGCTTTTCCCTCGTGTGCCTACAGTATGGTCAAAGTCACCGGCTCAGATTTTATTCCTAACATTCGTTTAGTGACGTTATTGTATTATGTTATAAATTTACCTAATTATTTTTGTAAAACAAGATGCCGAAGATCACCTTAGGGGAAAAAGAGGTAAAAACACAATATGCTATCAGTGTGACAAAAGAATGAACTGATTAGTAACCTTGAGAGTGGTCAATACACTACAAGCTTACCAGCAGAAGACAATATTGAGAAAAGTACTGTCACTAATATAAAAAATGCAGAAAAAAATAATCTGATAAACATTTTTAGCTATTTCAGATTGTGGAGATTCTGGTACATAGAGCAGGAAACAAATGAAGCCTGCTGAACATTCACTGATGGATGTTGCTGCTGTGTATACTAAAAGTGGTTTACACAGCAGTGTACAGCAGGTATGGGTGGTATGATGCGAAGAGTTAAGGCTACAGTTGCTAACAATTTGGATCTAAAAATTTTAAAATGTTAAAGCCATTCAAATATTTTTAAGATATATCTGAACCCCTGCGTTTATTTACAACAAGCTCAGTTCATTTTGTATTACTGTACTGTATAGTTTAATTCCAATTTGTGAGAGGACACTGTACATATGTACCCAGTTTTAGCTAAATTATTAAAAATTTTGCTAGTTGCACTCTGAAAATATTTTCATCTATTGAAAGTTAAAATAGGTGTTGTTAATGGCATACCTTGTACATATGGCCTCATCTAGTGATCTGGTTGCAAAAAAAAAAAAAAAAAAAAAAACAAGCTCTGTACAACGTTTCTTCTTTAATCTTGTCTTGTTTCAAACTGAATACCACTGGTTTGCACCAGTACCCAGTTTGTGCTTGAATGGGTGAAAGGATATGTATGATGCTATCTTGTATATGTATTTTGAAGAAGGGAGATTCATTGGTGACTAGACCAACTTTCTGATCTCTCTAGCTGCTTGGATAACGGAAGTAGGGTAGTTACGAAGCTCTTGTGCTAACCGCACTCCTCCAACGGAAAATATTGATTGGTCTGGTGGGAAAACACACAAGTCAGCATTATATATACATATATATAATTATATACTATATACTGTATTTTAGCACAAAAAGATCAAGACAAAAAAAAGTGTTGAATGTAATGAAACGCCATTTTCTGGGTGAGACCTGGAGGCTCCTTGGAGCTATCCAGGCTGATATGGATATATTAGACTTTGGCATCAGTCAATATGAATGGAGTTCTAGGCCTACTGGGGACCACGAGCCAGAACCTGGCCCGCCCCCCTCAGAGAGGCACGAGGAGCAATGGCCTATAGAAATGCACATGTGGTTAGGGAGCACTTTATGTCTGCCATCGACCAGGTCATGCACCCAGAAAGGTAAGCGTCCCAAAACAAACCCTTATTCTGGTTGAAACTACCACTGAAAGTCAAACGATTGGACAGAACTCCCCCAAATGAAAAGGAGCACACAAGCATGACGTCATCGCATCGCTTGTCTGCGCAAACCCCCCAGGAGGGGGAAGGGGGGAGCCCAAGACCCTCGCACCAGGGATCCACCCCTGCAGTTCTAAGGCAGGATATATAAACACGCAAAAAACTGCTGATCGGAGGGAAGGAGGGTTCCCGGGAAGCCAAGACCTATCTGGGTCTCACCCAGAAAGTGGCGTTTGAATACATTTAATGCTGGTTTTCTGGGGGGAGCCCCTTCGGCTTCCCGGAGCAACTTCACCAAAGAGAAGGAAAAAAAAGGACGCACCCGGGAGGCATACGCCATGCACAATTCAAATCGAAAGTAAGACAACCAACAGCATTGAAGGCCCCAGCAAACGACCCGGGAAACCTGAACCCATGCACAGGGAAGAAGGGGAAACTGGGGCAACCCAAAGCGCGACCCCAGAACCAGAAGCCGAGGCATGCAAACAATGGCAAAGAGCCGTAACCGGACACAGCACATGATGCATCCCGGCTGAACCATAAAAGCATCAACAACCCAAGGGTCCAAGAAGGGGCAACAGACCCAGGGCTTCACCCGGGACAAGTCCAGAATGAACCTCAGGTCCGCACAGATCCATTACGGGACCGGGAACAGATGGGGAAACCCAACTGAGGGATGTCATCGTTTTGACCACACTCAAGCGAACCCACTCCAAAACGACCCAACAGAGTGCAGGAGAACAGGCCCGCCCCGCCAGCCCCCCTCCCCCAGGGCCCAAGCAGATTCCAAGGAAGAAGCGAGCATCTGCTGACACGCGAGACGCAAAGTGAAAAAGACACCGCATCCCGCAAGGTGGGCGCAAACTGCTTCAAAAGAGCAGACAATGCACACGTCACCGAGACCAAAGCACCAGTCTCAGGAATGGCTCCAAGCGCCTCCACACCCTATGCAAGCCGATCCGATGACAGCTCCAGGAGGGAAAAGAACCGCAAGACCAAAGCCAACAGGCCACAAGTGCTCAAGTCCTCAACAACCAGTGCAGCCAAAAGGGAGGGAACCTGCACATGAAGCTGCACCATGCCAACATCCCGAGGAAGGGCAGGGGCGAACAAGCATGCAGTGAGGTGCCCAACTTGCCCCTCAGGAAAACCTGAACCACTGTCAGCACCTCGCGCCACACAAGCATGCGGGTACGACAAAGTACACCAAGCATTCAAACACAGAGCAATCCACTAGCCAGGACAACTCTGGAACCTCATATTGAACCCAGAAGGAAGACGGACCCAAACCTGAATGAAGACGGATTCATAATAGAAGTGTAATCCAGGTTGCACAGGAGGTAAGCCGCAGTGGCTTCTTCTGCCTCATGAGGTTCAGAAAGTAAAAAACCTCCAGAAAGATGGAACCGATGAACCTGAAGGGACACAGAACTGAACCCAGGGAGGGGCCGACACCAAATCCAACACGTATATGGGAGGGGTGGAAAGGGGAAGAAAACCCCACTCCTTGCCACTGTAAGCCCTGCTCGGAGAGTAGAAAAAACTCGGGTTGGGTCCAATGGAGCCCAAAGTCCCCAAGTCAGCCCCTCCCCAACCTGAGAAACTTCCATACCAGGACCCTGGGCCGAGTTGTCCTTCAAAGCCCCGGCCTCAAAAGCAAAAGCTGGGACAGCCGGAAAGGCAGAAGGGAGGGGGCGTCAGCCAAACCCCGACGCCACGGCTGGAGGAACCGCCTCAAATGCCCGTCACCACCCTGGAAGAGGTTTCCCCCGAGGCTGCCTAAGTCTCAAAACCAGCTAAACCCCGCCAAGACCCCGAAGTCCTCAGATGCTTCAGAGCCGGAAGCAGGAGGGGGGTATACACCGCAACACCAGAATACACCACAGAAGGGAAAGAACGAGGGGGTGCGAACTGAACCAAGGTTGAAGCGACCAACACCCCCAAATCCTGGTCCCTAGAACCAAAACGGAGCAGCTTTGGGGCTTCTGGTGCAGCAATTAACCTAGCACATTGCAGCAAACTAAACCTAGCATGCAACTCCTGAGCTGCCTGCACCCGTATAGTCATCAATGGACAAGGTGAACAGAGTCACTAACAAGCAACAAAACTCGCAGGACCCCGGGTCGAAGATGTCACCGACCCAACAGGCAGCATGATGAGCAAAAAAGTGAGGCAAGGGGACAGACCAACCCTCAAATTCACACAAGGCAAGAGGGGACCCAGGGGTCGCATTTATTGAACCCCATGCGCCCCAACGGGGTTTCCCAGGCCCCTTAGACTGGTATCACTAAGAGAAGCCCAGGCAGGGTACTACGAACCGGCGCCCAAGTCTACCAACCAAACTTCTAAAAGCTGAACCCCTAAACGTGTCCACTCATGGGGACCTAGTGGAGGTACCACCAAGACAATGGTAACAACCTAACACAAGGGGCAGACCCTTCACCAGAAAAACAAAAATAAAAGAAAACCCCCGCAAGAGGACAATGTGCGCAGGCGGAACAGAGCTGGCTGCTATAAGAGGTGATAACTAGCTGTGCAGTACCCTGCGCTCCTACCAGTGCAAACTACCCCTTCCCAAAGACAAACAAGGGTGCAGAAAATACCCCAGCACTAAGGGCGGCCGATCACCGAGCAGCAAACGACCAAGCAGAGGAAGATCCCAAAGTGACTTGTGGAAGGTGGCCCCCAAGCCCCAAGAGAGTGCTTACAGGGCACCTAGGGAAGATGACCCTAGGCGCATGCAGCCCGAGTACTTGTAAGATTACTTCTGGCTTACGCACCACCAGAGAAGACTTTCCCCATACCACAAGGTCGCTGGTAGGCCTAGAACTCCATTCACATTGACTGATGCCAAAGTCTAATATACAGTATCCACATCAGCCTGGATAGCTCCGGGGAGCCGAAGGAAAAATCTTTTTCTGGGGAGCCCCCCAGAAAAAACAATGGAAACACAGGGAAACGAAAATATCATCTAAGCATACTTTTGAGAAGCGACTTCCTTCGTGGCTTTGAGAGAGAAAGAGACAGACAGATACCGAGACAGACAGATACTGAGACAGACAGTGACTGTGAGAGTGAGCGAGTGAGCGAGTGAGAGAGCGAGTGAGTGAGTGCGCGCGAGTGTGAGTGAGAGAGTGTGTGAGAGTGTTATTACCTAAGTGTAGTTACAGGATGAGAGCTACGCTCGTGGTGTCCCGTCTTCCCAACACTGTCATATAACGCTTTGAAACTACTGACGGTTTTGGCCTCCACCACCTTCTCACTTAACTTGTTCCAACCGTCTAACAATTTGTTTGCGAAAGTGAATTTTCTTATATTTCTTTGGCATCTTTGTTTAGTTAGTTTAAATGTATGACCTCTTGTTCTTGAAGTTCCAGGTCTCAGGAAATCTTCCCTATCAATTTTATCAATTCCTGTTACTATTTTGTACGTTGTGATCATATCACCTCTTTTTCTTCTGTCTTCTAGTTTTGGTATATTTAATGCCTCTAACCTCTCCTCATAGATCTTTCCCTTCAGTTCTGGGAGCCACTTAGTAGCATGTCTCTGCACCTTTTCCAGTTTGTTGATGTGCTTCTTAAGATATGGGCACCACACAACCACTGCATATTCGAGCTTTGGCCTAACAAAAGTCGTGAACAATTTCTTTAGTATTTCGCCATCCATGTATTTAAAAGCACTTCTGAAGTAAGAAAGCGTAGCATAGGCTCCTCGCACAACATTCTTTACATAGTTCTCCGGTGATAGTTTTCTATCTAGAACCACCTCTAGATCTCTTTCTTTATCAGAATTCTTTAAAGATTTCTCATAATTTATAGGTTGTGTGGGGTCTATGTTCACCTATTCCACATTCCATAACATGGCAGTTATTCACATTAAATTCCATTTGCCAAGTGGTGCTCCATATACTTATTTTGTCCAGGTCTTCTTGAAGGGCATGACAATCATCTAGGTTTCTTATCTTCTCTATTATCTTAGCATCATCAGCAAATATGTTCATATAATTTTGTATTCCATCTGGTAGATCATTTATGTAGACAATGAACATCACCGGTGCAAGAACTGAACCTTGTGGTACTCCACTTGTGACATTTCTCCAGTCCGATACATTGCCTCTGATTACTGCCCTCATTTTTCTATCAGTTAGAAAATTTTTCATCCATGTTAGAAGCTTACCTGTCACCCCTCCAATATTTTCCAGTTTCCAGAACAACCTCTTATGTGGAACTCAGTCGAAAGCCTTTTTTAGGCTTTCGAAAGCCTGTAAAATCTCTGTGGCTCGATCATAGAAACTGAGTAAATTCGATACACAGGATCTTCCAGATCAAAAACCATACTGTCTGTCTGATATTATATCATTTCTCTCCAGGTGTTCTACCCATTTAGTTTTTATTATTTTTTCCAATATACCTTGAGGTTACCTTGAGGTGATTCCGGGGCTTAGCGACCCCGCGGCCCGGTCGTCGACCAGGCCTCCTCGTTGCTGGACTGGTCAACCAGGCTGTTGGACGCGGCTGCTCGCAGCCTGACGTATGAGTCACAGCCTGGTTGATCAGGTATCCTTTGGAGGTGTTTGTCAAGTTCTCTCTTGAACACTGTGAGGGGTCGGCCAGTTATGCCCCTTATGTGTAGTGGAAGCGTGTTGAACAGTCTCGGGCCTCTGATGTTGATAGAGTTCTCTCTCAGAGTACCTGTTGCACCTCTGCTTTTCAACGGGGGTATTCTGCACATCCTGCCATGCCTTCTGGTCTCATGTGATGTTATTTCTGTGTGCAGGTTTGGGACCAGCCCCTCTACTATTTTCCATGTGTAAATTATTATGTATCTCTCCCGCCTGCGCTCAAGAGAATACAGATTTAGGCTCTTTAGTCGGTCCCAATAGTTTAGATGTTTTACTGAGTGGATTCTAGCAGTAAAGGATCTCTGCATGCTCTCCAGGTAAGCAATTTCTCCAGCTTTGAAAGGGGCTGTCAATGTGCAGCAGTATTCTATTCTAGAGAGCACTAGCGTCTTGAAAAGTATCATCATCAGTATAGCATCTCTAATGTGAAAGGTTCTTGTTATTCAACAAGTCATTTTTCTTGCAGTTGTGACTGCTACTTTATTTTGTTCTTTAAATGTAAGGTCTTCCGACATGAGTACACCCAAATCCTTTACATTGCCTTTTCGTTCTATGTTAGGATTTGATTGCGTTTTGTACGTGGTTTCCATTTTTATATTAATTTTTTTTTCCGTAGCGCATAAGCTGGAACTTATCTTCGTTAAACACCATATTATTTTCTGTAGTCCATAGAAAGACCTGATTTACATCTGATTGGAGGTTTGCTGTTGTCCTCTATGTTGTCTATTCTCATAAAAATCCTAGAATCATCTGTAAAAGATGATACAGTATTATAGATTGTGCCATTTGTCTATGTCCGATATGAAGATGAGAAAAAGTACTGAAGCAAGCACAGTACCCTGGGGGACTGAGCTCTTCACGGTTGATGGTCCGGATTTTATTTTGTTGACTATTACACATTGGGTTCTATTAGTCAGGAAATTGTAGATCCATCTGCCTATTTTTCCGGTAATTCCTTTTGAACGCATTTTATGTGCAATAACACCATGGTCACATTTGTCGAAGGCTTTTGCGAAATCTGTGTAAATTACATCAGCGTTTTGTTTGTCTTCCATGGCATCTAGTGCCATGTCATAGTGGTCCAGCAACTGTGATAGGCAAGAGCGCCCTGTTCTGAAACCATGTTGTCCGGGGTTATGGAGATGCTGTGATTCCATGTATTTTGTGATCTTACTTCTTAGCACTCTCTCAAAGATTTTTATGATGTGCGATGTTAGTGCTATCGGTCTGTAATTTTTTGCCTCTGCCTTATTTCCTCCTTTATGGAGTGGTGCTATCTCTGCTGTTTTTAGTATGTCAGGGATAATGCCAGTATCTAGGCTTTGTCTCCAAAGAATGTGAAGGGCCTGCGATAGTGTTTTTTTTTACAGTTCTTGATGAATATAGAGTTCCAAGAATCAGGGCCTGGTGCAGAGTGCATAGGCATACTGTCTATGGCTTCTTCAAAATCCAGTGGGGATAGGGTGACATCTGATATATGATTTGATGTTGGTATCATATCCATGAAAAATTCATTTGGGTTATCAATCTTCAGTGTGTTTAGTGGCTCGCTGAAAACAGAGTCGTACTGATTCCTCAGTATTTCGCTCATTTCTTTGTTGTCATCTGTGAAAGTTCCATCTCCCTTTCGCAGGGGCCCGATACTAGATGTGGTTTTTTATCTTGATTTTGCATAGGAGAAAAAATATTTCGGATTTCTCTCTATTTCACTGATGGCCTTTTGCTCTCTTTGCCTCTCCTGGGTTTTGTATGATTCTTGTAGCTTTAGTTCAATTGTTTCTATTTCTCTACCTAACCTTCTTCGCCGTTCTTGAGATAGGGTGCGACTCTCAAGTTGTTCCGCGATTCGTTTTCTTCGCCTATATAGGGAACGACGTTCCCGTTCCAATCTGCATCTCTTCCTCTTTTTTCTTAGGGGTATGCGGTTTGAACATATTTCTAGTGCTACTGAGCTTATTTTTTCCAGGCACTGGTTCAGGTTTGCATTTTCTAGCTGTTCTTCCCAGCTTATTTCTGTGAAGTCTTGGTTTATTTGCTCCCAGTTTATCTGTTTATTATTGAAGTTGAATTTGCTGAAATCTCCTCCACCGGGAATCGGGACTGGTTTTGAAGGTCTATTCCCCATGCTTGTCAGAACTTCAATTAAGTTATGATCTGAGTAACAGGTATTTGTAATCATTATGTTCCTGATCAATTCATCATTATCGGTGAAAATGAGGTCCAGCATGTTTTCCTTCCTAGTTGGTTCTACTGTTTGCTGGTTTAAGGCAAACCTGTCGCATATCCGTAGCAGGTCCTTTGCATGTGCCTGTTCATTTACGCTACTTCCCGGAATTATCTCTGATATAACTATATTAGCTAGGGTCTTCCATTTCAGGTGCCGTAGGTTGAAGTCCCCAAGCAGGATGATGTTTGGGGCTGGATTTGTGAGGTTTTCTAAGCAGTGTTCTATTTTCATTAGTTGGTCTTTAAACTGCTGATGATTTGCCTCCGGTGACTTATATACAAGGACAATAACTACATTTAAGATCTCTATTTTGATTATCAGCACTTCCACCATATCGTTTGTGGTGTTTAGCAGCTCAGTACAGATGAGTGTGTCCTTGATGTAGAGGCTGACCCCACCCTGTAGCCTGTGTTTCCTGTCACATCTGAAAAGATTGTACTCTGAGATCCATATTTCACCATTATGGTAGTCCTTGGTGTGGGTTTCCGTTAGGGCTGCAAACACTGCATTTGCCTCATATACGAGGCCATCTATGAAGTGCACTTTGTTAGATTTGCGTATTTTATATCCTGAATGTTGGCAAATATAAATGATGTTATGTTTATGGAAGTGCTGGATGCCTTACTTGGTGTTAATATCTGAGGCTCTGGTAGGGAGGCCACTGTGTGTGTATGCTCTCCAGCATTTGACCGAGTTGGTGGTAGTCTGGACATTTTTAGCCATTCTTCTCCTCCTCCTCTTGCTAAAAAATCATCCTGGTAAATAGTGTTGTGGTTGCTTTCATCGAAGTGGTGTGTCTGTCTTATTCGCTTGGTACCTTTTATATGAAAAGCTGGACATTGTGTGTTGAAACATTCATTCTAATTTAAAGAGTTCTTGCACAGTTCTGGGTGAAAGAGATCACAGCTTTTGGTACATTTACCTGTACTAAGAAGAGTCCTGCACTTTCTGGGATGATCATATTTACATAGTCCATTTGTTCTCCCCGATATCCCATGCTTACAGATACCCCATTTATAATATCGGCAGATTTTGGGTCCTTGTTTTGTTTGTTTCAAAAATCGCGCCCTGGCGCCAATATTGCGCCCGGTTCAGGCGCCGACACAATGTTGCATCCGGCCCGATGCCAACGTCGCCGGTCCTGGCATACCGCCAGCCCCGCCGCCAAGCACGTCGCCGGCCCCGACGCCAACGTCGCATCCGGCCCCGCCGCCAACGTCGCATCCGGCTCCAGGCCCGACGCCAACGTCGCATCCGGCCCCGACGCGCTGAGATGTAGCTCCAATTCTGGTTCTACCAGGGTGTCCTTGACAATTCGTTTGAAAACATTGAAATTTCCATGCAGGCTGTTAGAAGTGATTCTCTGTGCTCTGCTGGGGTTTTATCAAGAATTGCGATCATCTTCAAGACAGTAATATTATCCTTTTTGCAGAACCAGTACACCGAGTGGTCTCTGGGACCAATTCTCCTGGCATTATTTGACATGTTGGCACATTTACTGTGTATTTCTTTTGAACATAGTTGGCACTGGAAGCTCTGCTGGTAATATACTTCCTTGTTGCATTCTGTGCACATCTTTACTAAAGGCATTTTTACCATAATTCTTCTGGTCAGTGGTGGTGGTGGTAATACCTTTTCTTCTTCTTTCCTGGTGAATATTAGATCCAGTACTGAAGGAACATCCCCTTCTCATTCTTGTGGCCTGCTTGACGTGTTGATACACGAGTGTCTCCAAGACGAGGCTAACAAATCTGCGTGCGTGTGTGTGTGTGTGTGGGGGGGGGGGGGGTAGCAACTGGTGGTGGCGATCGATGGCAGTGACTGGTGGAGGCGATCGATGGCAGTGACTGGTGGGGGCGATCGATGGCAGTGACTGGTGGGGGCAATCGATGGCAGTGACTGGTGGGGGCAATCGATGGCAGTGACTGGTGGGGGCAATCGATGGCAGTGACTGGTGGGGGCAATCGATGGCAGTGACTGGTGGGGGCAATCGATGGCAGTGACTGGTGGGGGCAATCGATGGCAGTGACTGGTGGGGGCAATCGATGGCAGTGACTGTGGTAGTGGTGATGTCAGTGACTGTGGTGGTGGTGGTGATGTCAGTGACTGTGGTGGTGGTGATGATAGTGACTGGTGGTGGTGGTGATGGCAGTGACTGTGGTGGTGATGTTAGTGACTGTGGTGGTGATGGCAGTGACTGTGGTGGTGGTGATGTCAGTGACTGTGATGGTGGTGGTGGTGATGACAGTGACTGTGGCAGTGGTGATGATATTGGTAATACTAAGTACAGGTAAGATTTTTTTTTTACAAATGCAATGCTGTATAAACTTGTGGAAATAGCAAACAATGTTAGTGGTTCAGGACTGAACATTATCCACTTGGTGAGGTTTCCAGAATGGTTTCCCTCAAATGCATTAGATCAATATTAGACATCTTCAGAAATAAAATTTACCTTAATTCTGGAAATGTATGAACAGTCTTACATACCGGCATCTAGTTCGTATATCTGTTGGGGTAACTCGGCAAAATAGGTGTGTCTGAGAGCGCCCTCTGATGAGATCCTCTTATTGGGCTGAATCTGCAAGAAAGAAAATAAGAAGTGGATAATATATTCGCTGAAATTATTTACCAAAGGATTCCACATTTTTTTTTTTTTGTGGGGGCGGTCAGATAGGAGTGGATAGACCAGTCGCTGTTTGCTTGCAGCGATAAGGAAGCGGAGAAATTACGACAAATGATTTGTTTCCCATTGGTGAGGATGGGATACCTCTCAGGCTGATCAAGTTCCATTTAGGTCAATGACCAACCTGCCCAAGGATGTAACTTACAACAGTTGCCTAACCCCTAGGCACTTATTTACTAATAGATGACCAGAGGCATCGGGTGTCATATATGGTGTTTGGGATTCGCTCTAGACACTACCATCTAGACAAAATATATTTATGCCAAATCAATCCAACATTTACCATTTTTCCAACAGTGTACAGTAGCTTGCACAGTTAACAATTATGATTAATGGGATGGTAGTTAAATGCAAGAATATAATATTTCTATAATTTGGAGACTGTAAGCACCATAGCTCATTTTTAGTTACCTGCAAAGACTCCTCCTTTCCTTATCTTATTATACAGGACCAACAAGAAGGCAACTCCTGGGAAAAGATGTAACCTTCGAATATACAGTGACACCGACTTATGATTGTCCCTACTTACGAATTTTTCGAGTTACGCTGTAAATTTCATCGGAAAATGCGACTCTACTTACAAGTCATCGACTAATGACCTTTGTTGATAAGCATTCGGGTCAACCAAGCGCATGGTTCCTGGTGGCATGGGCCGACCTGCCTCAGTTTATCAGAGCCGCCCGCTTAGTGACGATCGCGCTTGTAAGGACTTCATTATTTTGGTGCTTTTTTTGTTTTTTGAACATAAAACTAATTATTAAATACTGTACTGTATCACACCATGGGTCCCAAGAAAATAAGTGGTAAGGTTCAACATAAGAAAATACAAGTGAGGATGACCATAGAAGAAAAACAAGAGATCATTTGTAAACATGAAGATGGTGTGTGGGTTGTTGAGCTAGCTAGGCAGTACAACAAATCTATGTCAACGACATTCACCATACTTGCTAAGAAAAAGGACATTATGAGCGCTGAAGTGGCAAAAGGCATAACAATAATCACAAAAACAAACACTTGAGGATGTTGAACAGTTATTCTTAATTTGGATACACAACAAGGAGTTAGCAGGTGATAGCATTTCAGAGGCCATCATTTGTGAAAAAGCAAAGAAAATTGCAAGAAGATCTTAAAGAAAACCCTGGAACGAGTGATGCAGATGCGAAAGAGTTTAAGGTGAGCAGAGGATGGTTTGAGAAATTTAGAAAAAGAAATGGCATTGATAGTGTTGTGAGGCATGGTGAGGGTGCCAGCTCAGACAAACCAGCAGCTGAAAGATGTGTTGGCAAATTTAAAGATTTTGTGCAGAGTGAGGCATACCTACCACAACACGTGTTTAATTGTGACGCAACAGGGTTATTCTGGAGAAGATTGCCGAAGAAGATATACATTACCAAGAAGTCGTTGCCCGGACACAAGCCTATGAAAGATAGGCTAACTCTTTTGCTGTGTAGTAATGCGATTTGAAAATTAAACCCTTGCTTGTGTATCATTCCGAAAATCTAAGGGTTAAATCCAAAGGGAAAATCCAAGGGAAATCCAAATCCAAGGGAAAATCCAAAATCCAAGGGAAAATCCAAAATCCAAGGGAAAATCCAAAAATATAATGTGCAGAAAAACAAAATGTGTGTGATGTGGAGGGCTAATGGTAAGACATGGGTGCCAAGGCAATATTTTACCGAATGGGTGAATGAGGTGGTTTGCCCGTCCATCAAAAAATATCTGCAGGAGAAACGTTAACCACTCAAGGCCCTACTTCTCCTCAACAATGCTCCTGCCCATCCTCCAGGCTTGGAGGATTCATTGTTGGAGGACTTTAGTTTTGTTACAGTAAAGTTCCTTCCTCCCAACACCACTCCTCTATTTCAGCCTATGGACCAGAAAATCACTGCCAATTTTAAGAAACTATGAAAGGGCACTTTTCCAAAGATGTGTCAAGGTGATGGATGCCACAAACCTCATCTTCAAAGAGTTCTGGAAAAACCATTTTAACATTTATAGTGCTTTAAAACTCATAGACAAAGCCTGGCAAGATTTGACTAAGAACCATGATCTCTGGCTGGAGAAAATTGTGGTTTGAATGTGTTCCAGAACAAAACTTTGAGAGGTTTGAGCCTAAATATGAAGTGCCTCTTGTTGAGGAAATTGTTTCTCTGGGCTGGCAATTGGGCTTGGAGTTGGATGGTGTCGATATTGAGGAGTTGGTAAAGGAACACAGCAAAGAACTGACCACCGAAGAACTCCAAGCCCTTCACAAGGAACAGCAACAAGAGGCAGCTGTGGAAATTTCTTCAGGGGGGAAAAGAGGAGGCAGTACAGACTGTCCCTTTCTCAACAGTTAAGAAAATGTGTGCAGCATGGGAAGAATTGCAAACATTTGCTGAAACTACTCACCCAAATCAAGCTACAGTAGGCTGTTGCCTTAACCTTTTCAATGACATTGATGCATCACCACATACAAATGTTAAGACTAGGGAAAAACAAATCCCTATGGAAAGATTTTTAGTGAAACAAACAAGCACTGAACCACAATCAGGTCCTAGTGGTATGCAGGCAAAACATGAGAGAGTACCCCAGAGAAGTCATCACTGCCTGATGTTATAATGGAAGGGGACTCCCCTTCCAAACAGTAACACCTTTCCTTCTTCCCCCTCCTCATCATCTACCATACGCAAACAAGAGTCCTCGATAAAGGTAAGATAAACATATGTACTGTATTGTAGTTAGAAAAAAAATTGTATTCAGTATAAAATGTATTTTTAAGTTAATATTTTTGGGGGTGTGGAACAGATTAATTAAATTTACATTATTTCTTATGGGAAAATTTGTTTCATCCTACGACCTGTCTCTGGGAACAGATTAAATTCTTAAGTCGAGGTCCCACGGTATATGTACAGTATACAGTAGTTTTACTACCTTTTCTATTTTAATTGAATAATATTCATCTGCTGTCATTATCATTGTATGTTTTATTATTTTATTTTTTATTTTTTTGAAAGATAGCTTCAGGGAGCCACTGGGGGCTTCCCCAGAAAAAGTTTTGTATATTACTTACCTGTAGGAACTGTGTAGCTAAGGACTCAGCATGGGGAATGTCATTGAGTCTGGGAAAGAGAGAAGCCAATCTGCGTTGTCGATGAAGAACAAGGCGATGTGGCTTGTAGTTTGGAAACTGTGTGACTCCTGGCCACGTATCTTCAGAAGGCGTTCCAACAACCTGTAAATAGTCTAGTTAATTGCAATGTTTGATTTAATTGTAGTTTTAAATTATTGTTTACAGAATGTCATACCTTACCTTGATCATACCTTGATGGGGTTCTGGGATGAGTTCTACTCCCCAAGCCCAGCCCGAAGCCAGGCTTGACTTGCGAGAGCTAGGTTCAACAGGCTGTTGCTTGGAGCTACAGTGGTACTTCGGAATACGAGTGTTCCTGTATACGAGTTTTTCGGAATACGAGCAGAATTTCCTCGGAAAATGTGTCTCGGAAGGCGAGGGTTACCTCGGGAAGCGAGTTTGTTGATACACGTACAGGCCGACCTCGCTCGTGCTGGTACAGTGATCGTCGCCTCTCACCTCTCAGTTTACCAGTGCCTCGCACCCAGTGACTATCCCACGTAAATTCCTCACCCGGATTTTCAGTGTTTTGCTGAATTTTTGGTCATTTGACCATAAAAGATATTATATATCTCGCCATGGGTCCCAAGAAAGCCAGTGGTAAGGTTTAACCTAAGAAAATAGTGCTGCGTTTCGGGCGATCGAGTGGCAACACTGAAAAGTGTATACTCTTTTCACTGTCCTGATATTAATTTTCGATTTACTTATTTCATTTTTGTACCAGTGTGTTCGCAATAGAATGTTCTATAAGAATATTAGTATAAAATGTCACACAAGGATGCGTTAGACCGGCACCAAATAAAAAACTACGTCGATTACACTTGTCGTGTCAACAGTACAATGGTTCTACCTCGATGGTGCAATGCTACACCGTTCTTCCAAATAGCCTATGCGGCTATTAGAGAAAACGGAAATTTCATGGCGGACATTTTCAAACTATCCCAAAGTCGATCTCATAACAAATAGAGTTTATAGAAATATTTTTTCTCGTGACTCGTGAGCGTGTCCGCTGTGCGACCTCAACACAAAAAGTGGTAATGCTCTAAAGCGCCGTGATAACGCTAAAGTGTTAAGAAATTGTGTGAATTATGGGAAGAATTGCAAAGTTTTGTTGAAAAAACTCGCCCAGATAAAGCTGTAGCAGGCCGTTGCATTGACCTTTTTAATGGCAGTGTGATGTCTTACTACAGACAAGTGTTAAAATGTAGGGAAAAACAAGTGTCTTTAGACAGATTCTTAGTAAGACAAGCAAGTCTTAGTGGTATGCAGGCAAAACATGCCAGAGTGTGCACACCAGGAAGTCCTCACTGCCTGATGTTATAATGGAAGGGGACTCCCCTTCCAAACAGTAACACCTCTTCTCCTCCCTCCTCCTCACCATCTTTCATACACCAACAGCAAGGTAAGTAATAACTTACAACCTACAAAACATAGTTTTGTAGGTTTATTTAGATGAATTAGGTATAAAAATTTAGCTTGATGTGGGGTTTTTGGGGTAGTCAGGAACGGATTAATTAATTTCCCATTATTTCTTATGGGGAAATTAGCTTTGGAATACGAGTTTTCGGAATACGAGCTGTCTCCAGGAACGGATTAAACTCTTAAACCGAGGTGCCCCTGTACCCTGGGACCCCTGGGCTGCTCTTGTGATTATAGCCTGCAACATGCCCAGGCAAAAGAATTAAAAAAAAAAAAAAATTAAAATTTCCTCTTATAAAAGTGTTCATTTGTGTTACCTGACCACGGGGAAAAAAGTTGTAGGTGACAAATTTGGGCCACAATAAGGAGAGGAAGTCTGGCAAAATTGAGGTGTTGATAGAGCAATTGTCGGAGGTGGTCAGCTCTGCCAGAGCTGTCAGGCGGGAGTTGCCACAAAAATATTACAGTATTACCTAATTATTTCAATGTCCCTGATTTTTTCTTAGTTTTTGCAGTAATATTATTCAATAGTGTGTAGTGTGATATATTTATATAATAAAATGTGTGAATCATCTCTATACTCGAAATTATGGTGTACATATTAGTATATTAGTGATTCAATTATTATGTCAAACTTACGAATGTCATGGGCACGAGGACAGACCGCAAGCTCGCTGGACCAAATAACCCTGAGGAAAATCTGGGAGAGACAAACCTTGGAACAGGGAAGAAGGGAAACCAGGTCAACCCAAAGCGCGACCCCGACCACCGATGCCGTGGTGCACAGGCAATGGAGGAGAGCCACAACTGGACACAACACATAATGCACCACCAGCCTAACCAACCAAGCATCAACAACCCAAGGACCCCTCCAGAAAGCAGCAGTTTCATTCTTTGCCAGAAAAGAAGGCGATGGCTGCAACTGAATAAACCTACCACCAGGACCAAAAGAGCAGTAACCCCTGTGCTGGAGGAGAGCACGAAGCTCTCCAACCCGACCCCCAGAGGCCAATGCCAACAGAGCTTTGGAAAACAATCCTGAGCCAAAGGGGCCACCACAAACCGAGGAAGAGAGAAAAAGGAGAGCACCCGGTCCAATGACCAGGACTGCTCAGGCGGCACATGAGCAAACCGGAGGTGAATCAACGCATGAGACAGTTTGCGGAACGGAGCAGACGTAACATCAATACCGAATGCAAGCTGCACCGGCTGTGCCAATGCCGCACGATACGAGGCGACAGTATTCGGCATAAGATGAAGGTCCTGGAAAGAGGGACAATAAACCCACGGTTTCAGATGGGACAAGTCCAATGAACCCGAGTTCCGCACAGCCCCGTTTCGGAACCAGAAACAGGCGAAAAACCCACCGGAGAGACAAGGTCGTATTGACCATGCCCAAGTGAACCCACTCCAAGATGACTTAACAGAGCTGAGGAGAAGGGGCCTGCCCTGACAACCCCGAACCCCCCAAAGGAGGAAGAGCCACCCAACGCCACTGCAGGCTGCACAAAGCGACTTTAAACGTCCACAAATCGTAGGACCAGGCACGAGCGAACAGCGCGAGCCTCATCCTCATCGCCCCGTCAATGGGACAAACTGCAAGAGGGCCGACGCTCCTTATGGGAACCCAACCTCCGCATAGAGCGGTCATCAAGCTGACCAAGACAAAGACAGTTCCGAAGCCTACGCCAGTTCCGAAACTGGCACCACTGCCTACTATGACAGGAGGAACCCCGCACAGTGGTACTATCCTTATGGGAAGACCCCTCCCCCCCCTCGTGCCCCCTGGAGAACCAACAAGTCCGACATGGGATGGCAACTAGAAGCAGCTGCCTGCAGATACTGCACAACTGCAGATTCTGCAAACAGCTATGGGCAAAAAGGTATAGAAATCTTAAGAGCCAGGGCCCAAGCACATTCCACAGAGGAAGCAAGCACTGCCTGCCGACGGAAAGAAAAAAAAAGTGACACTGCATCCCGCAGGATTGGAGCAAACAGCTTCAAAAGAGCAGACAATGCACACACCGCCGAGGCCAACGCACCAGACCCAGGAGCGGCCCCAAGTGCCTCCACGTCGTCCTCAAGCCAGTCCCATGACTGCTCAAGAAGGGAAACTAATAAGACCGAAGCCAACAGGCTACAGGCATGCAAGTCCTCAGCGACCATCATAGCTGAAAGGGAGGGAACTTGCACATGAAGCTGCACAATGCCAACATTCCGGGGAAGGACGGGTGAATAAGCAAGCATTGAGGTGCTGAAACTCACCCCCCCCAGGAAAACCTGGACAACTGTATGAGCCTCGCGCCACTCAAGCGCACGGGAATGACAGAATGAATGCCATGCCTCCAATGAGAAAAAGGGGCAATTTGCAAGCCAGGACGACTCTGGAACCTCATAACAAACCCAGTAAGGAAAAGAAGATCCATACACAAAGGAAGACTGATCCATTATGAAGGCGTAATCCGAGTCATGCAGGAGGTAACCCGCAATGGCCTCCCGCACCACATGAGGTGGGATGCGTGTCGCCGAAAACGTCTAGAGGGACGGGACTGAAGAACCCATGGGATCACAGAACTGAACCCAGGAAGGGGTAGACACCAAATCCAACTCTTACAAGGATGGGGAAAAAGAAAATTCCACGCCTTGTAACACCAAGCCCCGCTCAGAGGGTACAAAAACCCAAGCAGAGTCCAATGGATCCCAAGGCCTCCAAGTCATCCCATCCCCAACACTGGGAATCTCCTTATGAGGACCCGGGGCCGAGCCGTCCTCCAATCCCAACCCGCATCAAAAGAAAAGACAGGAGCCGCCAAAAAAGCAGGAACGAAGGGGGTCCACTGGTCAGACCCAGAAACCTTGGCTGGAGGACCAGGCTCGAATGCCTCCACCACACCGGAAGGAGCATCCCCCAAAACCGCCCAAGTCTCAACACCAACTAAACCTTGCCCAGACCCCGTAACCCTTGGAGCTGAAGGCGAGGGAGGAGGACCAGAACGAACAACAGAAGGGGGAGAACAAGGAGGCACGGACGGAACCAAAGTTGAGGTGACTAACACCCCCAAGTCCGGGTCCCTATAACCAAAGCAGGGCAGTCTTGGGGTATCTGGGGTAGCAACCAACCGAGCGCATTGCAGCAACCGAAACTGAGCAGGCAACGCCAAAGATGCCTGCACCTGCATATCAGTGGACTGGGTGAATTGGAGTACAAACAAGGAATAAAACTTGCAAGACTGAGTCGAAAGTGTCACCGACCCAACAGGCAGCATGACGGAGGCACAACTGGCGAGTGTCACCCTGAGACAAGGTGACGGAGCAACCTTCAAGCTCGCACGAAGCAAGAGGGGAGCCAGAGGTCACATCCATCGTACCAAAGAGCCCCCAAGAGGTTTCCCAGGGGCCCCCTTAGTTACATTATCTCACTAAGGGAAGCCCAGACAGGGTACTGCTAACCGGCACCCAAAATTACCAAGCGAACTGCTAAAACTGAGCCCCCAGGATGTGTTCACTCACTAGGGCCTAGCAGAGGACCAACTAGATACAATAGGATGTGACCAAACCAAGGGGCAGATACCCCCCCCACCAACCAGGCAGAACAAAAAGTAAAAAAAAAAAACTGCAAGAGGATAGCATGCCCAGGTATAACAAAGCCGGCTGCTATGAGAGGTGATAGCTAGTTGCACAGT